TGGCAGTTGCTAGACACAGTGTCTCTGGGAAAACAGCCCTCAGAGGAGGCTCCCGGGAAGGCAACGTGACCTGAGACACTTCTCAGCGTGCCTGCTCTGCCCCGTGTGGGCATGAAGGGGGCATGGAGCTGGGCACTGGGTGTCGCCCGGTAGGGGGCCATGGGGGTGTGGAGGAAGGACTGCCATGGGTTTGGAGCCAGAACTCCTGTCTCCTGACGGGGCGTGAGCACCTTCGCTTCTTGGCGCTCAGCCTCCTCTGTGGGGTAACCACTGAGTCTGTGCTTCGTGCGGTGGTTTGGAGCATCCTGTGGGATGATGTGTGTGAAAGTGCTTTATGAATGAGGCCACATACACACGTGAGCCTTGTCAACATTCCTGTTGACCGTTGTTCCTTGTCTGCTGACTTTCGGGGCTATCAGAGTTCGACATCCCAAGGGTCTGCCATAAAGGGACTCCTGCATGTCCTTAAGCTTCTGCCTCCCTCACATGTCGCCTCATCTCCTGCTTTCCCAGGTCGGAGGAGGATTAGCCAGAGGGAAGCGGAAGAGGAAAGGAGGATGCTCACCATCCTCACCAGGTGGTTAATCTTTCCCCCTCTTTCCTGGTCCCTGTTGAAAGCATGTTCCATGCATCTCCGGGACTCAGTGCTCCCTGACAACAGTCATGGGAGTGGGTAGCCGTGGGAACGGGCGTGTGAACAAAGGCCTGAGGCAGAGGCCACAGAGTGTATTACAAAGTCATGGGAGGGGGCAAGGTGAGGGGCAGCAGGCTTCAGGCGGCCCCACCCCGGCTAGGCTAGCAGGCCCCTCTCCTTGTGCTGGTCCTGGCTACAGCTTTGTCCCTCCTGTCTTCTGCAGCCCCTTTAGTGAGCATGACGACATAATGAATTTTCGTCGACTTCTATGTCCGGATCCCCTCTGCGGCATGTGTATTAGGGCAACTAATGACATCATGCACGTGCTGTTCCAGGGGACCCTGGAAGATCCTGCTCCATCTGGGTCACGTTCGGAGTCTGAAGTTTCCTGGACAGCATCGTCCTCCAATTTGTCCTGCAGCTGCTCAGCAAGCCCTCCCCCTCCAGGAGAATTAACACCTGCTTCTGTGTCCCAGCCTTCTCCACCTGCCGCCTCCATTCTCTTACCTGCCTGCCTTTCACCC